CCCCGTGGCCCCCCCGGCCCCCCGCCCCCAGCTGCAGCCGCTCGGCGCCCGCAGCTCCGTCAGGCTCCAGGCACAGCCGGCACCAGTTGATCCCACCCTCCCTGGGGCAGCAGAACAAACTCCTAGGTCTAAGCAGATTAAGGTTCTTAGGCGCTCATGGCATGAAGGTGGGGGCACAACAGGCCATTCCCAGCAATGCCAAAGGACATGGAAATCAGGGAAGAAGATGGGAAGAGCTGCTGCAGATGAGAGCGGAAACAGTGCCATCCCTCCCGGACAAGGACTGGTCAGACCTGGCCTAGGCATTCCTCAAAGATCAGCCTGGGCTCATGTCTGTCCCAGAGCAGCACACACCAGCACAGTGCTGCTGGCTCTCCCGAGGGAGCAGGAGGAGCCGCAGGTCCAAGGTCCATGTGGGAGCTGGTGAGCAGGGCCAGGCATCCTGCTGCACAAAGGCGGGCATTCATCCCTGCCCACAGCACTGGGGCTAGGGAACACTGCTCGTCTGCCAGCAAACCACATCCTGTCCCTGCAGGGGCAGTTCCCGGATCTCCTTCCATCACCATCCAGCACAGAGCACACAGAGCCAAAGAAACCAGCTCAGGTCACAAAGAAGCCACCACCAGAGCACTGGAGCAAGGAGATGCTGGAGGGATGCGATCACTCCAGACTGCTCCAAAGTTCCCTCAGCCAGACCCGAAGGGAGAACTACCACAGGTCCAGAGCCTCGGCTTCAAACACTGGCACGGGTCTGTCCAAAGTACATCGCCTACCCAGGAACACCATCACCTGCTGAGGGATATCATCACCCAGCCTTCTATCACAGTGAATTGCCTCTGGAGTCAGCACTCCCACAGGGAGGAAGGAGCAGGAATACCATGCTTCCCACAAGGAGCTCCCCAGCCCGGGGGTGGCCATGGGTTACACTCTCCAGCTCCACACAGCCCCAGTGTGAGCAGGCACAGAAGGGCCCTGCTGGGCTCAGCATCCCCTTTCTGCTCTACAACGCAGCAAATGAAAAGCACAGAGCCCAAAAGCTTCTGCAGCCACAGCAACTGTGCCACCAGCACTGCGCCTGTGCTCCAGAGACGCCAGAACAAACCTCTCTCTTGTCAGCCTAACAGAAGCCTGCCCAAGGCTCAAAAGTCACCCCAGAGCAAATGCACTGAGGTCTTGTTGCAAGAAAAGTGTTAGTAAAAGCCAGCTCTGCTCAGCAGTTCTGTTCTAAGAACATGCCTACATCTGAGGGCTGGAGCAGCTCTGCTCTGGAGACAGGCTGAAAGAGTTGGGATTGTTCAGCCTGAAGAAGAAAAAGCTCCAGAGAGAACTTAAAGCACCTTCCAGGACCTGAAGGAGCTAAAGGAAAGCTGGGAAGGGACTTTTAACAAGGGCAGAGAGTGATGGGACAAGGGAGAACGGTTTCTAGGTGCAACAGGGGAGATTGAGATGAGATCTGAGGAAGAAATTCTTTGCTGTGAGGGTGGTGAGATATTGGTTCAGATTGCCTTGAAAAGCTGAGGTTGCCCCATCCCTGGCAGTGTTGAAGGCCAGGTTGGATGGGGCTTGGAGCAACTGGTCTAGTGGGAGGTGTCCCTGCCCTTAGCACAGGGTTGGCACTGGATAAGCTTTATGGTCCCTTCCAACCCAAATCAGTCTGGGACTCTGTGACTTCCAAAGAAGGGACAATTCTCAGCACGTTCCGCAGTGTGTCCCTGCAGAAGGGTGAGTTGGGATTCTGCAGAGCCAAGTCTCACCTGATGATGGTGTGCATGCCCCGCACCTGCGGCGTGTTCTCCAGGACGCTCAGTGTCTTCGGCAGTGGCTGCCCTTGGTGGGCAGAGGCCAGGGCTGCCCTGCAGTGAGGACACAGAGATCAGAGCTGTGCACACAGAACCCCTGGTGCTCGACCTCCCTAGAGTGGGACATGGTCCCTGGCTCAGCCCTCCTGCCTTGATCCCTTGGAAAGTCCCACGTGATGCAAAGCAGCACAACCCGTGAAACCAGGACAAACGTCCCACAGCACAGATCCCACTGCTACAGCCTCTACACAGGCAAGACCTCATGACGTCTCCCAGGATGGGGCTGCCTGGGTAACCTGAGGCCTGGGACTGTCCCTGACGCTGACCCCATGAAGTCCCAGAGAACAGGGATTGTGCAGGGCACTTATCCCAAGGACAGGAGCAGCCCGGGGCAATCTGGTGCTCAGAGCAGAACCATGCTCCAGAATGGGCTGGGGGCAACAGGGGAGATGGTGACACCAGCCAAGCATGGCTGCCGGGGACATGTCACACAGGAGCCCGCAGCCATGGCGAGACAAGCCCCAAGGAGCTGCCCCCAGCCATCAGGGAGGAGCAGCCAGGCTCAGGCACCACAGCAAAGCTGTGCCCAGCAGGGACAGAGGAGAGGCAGTAGCAGGGCCCCACGTACCTGACGGTGATCTCGCGCTGGGAGGCAGGGCGGAGTCATCCAGCAGGGCAAAAGGGGAAGAAAGGACAAGCAGTCACTGTGTCAGCCCTGCACAGCCACCGTGGGGCAGCTCCTGCCCCTTCTCCCAGGGCAGAACCACGCAGGAAAACCACCGCTGGGCACAGCTGGAGGCAAGGGCAGGTTGCCATGGTGCTGCCCCCAGACCCACCCACACGGCCCCCATGTGGCAGCTCCATCTGCCCCCAGAGCTGCACTGGGACCTTTGCCAAGAGAGAGATGGCACCGAGAGTCTCTGGGTGCTCTGGGAGCACAGGGCTGTGAGCAGCCTCATCCCTCCTCTTCCTCGCCTGTGCCAGCAGCACCCACTGCCCCCACCTCACCTTCTCCAGCTGGCTGTGCACGTGCTGCACAATGAGGTCCAGGGCCACAAAGTTTTCCCCACCTGACCATAGAGCAGAGAAGCCAGGTCAGATGTGCAGTGACCCAAACCCACCCCAGGACACCATGGAGGGGGGTTGGAGCTGGCACATCCAGTGCAGTCTCACCCCTGGGCACCACGATGTCAGCCACCTGCACGGTGGGCTCGATGTACTGCTCGAAGGCTGGCTTCACAAACTTGTTGTACTGCTTGATGACACCCACGATGTCACGGCCACGCTCCATGATGTCACGTTGCAGCCGCCGCACCAGCCTGATGTCAGAGTCCGTGTCCACAAACACTTTCATGTCCAGGAGCTGGAAAACTGGGAGGGGTGAGCACCCCCTATGCAGCCCCCCAACACCTGCCACATTCCCCTTGCCCACGGCCCTGCCAAGTCGGACCCCAGAGATGACATCCAGGGCTGCCTCTCCTGTAATCCCTGACACAGGAGCACCAAGGCTCCAGCACCCATCCCACCACCCGGCATCTCCCACACCAGGAGGGGCCACCAGCCGCAGCAAGCAGCGATACCTTCAGCAGCTCCTTGTTGGCAAAGGCCAGGATCCCTTCAAAGACAATGACGTTGGCCCCATACACCGTTTTCTGTGGGCAGAGAAGAGCCGGATTCATCCTGTCCCACAGCACTCAGCACAGACAGCATTCTGACCCACAGTGCTTCCCATCAGCACCCCACAGCTCCCAGCCTTCATGGGCCCTTTTGCTCAGCCGTGCGCTCAACACCCCAGCTCTGACCCAGAGCCCAGAGGCTGGCTCCAGAGCCCCAAACCTCTGCCCAGAGCCTTTAATGCATTCAGTTTTGGGTCCCTCATGACTACAAGGACATGGAAGGGCTGGAGTGTGTCCAGAGAAGGGCAACAGAACTGGAGAAGGGTCTGGAGCACGAGTCTGATAAGGAGCAGCTGAGGAAACTGGAGGTGTTCAGCCTGGAGAAAAGGAGGCTGAGGAAATACCTTCTCACTCTATGCAACTGCCTGAAAGGAGGCTGCAGTGAGGTGGAGGCTGGTCTTTCTTCCCACATCACCGGTGATAGGACAAGAGGAAATAGGGGAGGGGAGGTTTAGATTGGATATTAGGGAAAAAAAATATTTACTGAGTGTCCAGACCCTGGCACAGGCTGCCCAGGGCAGTGGTGGAGTCACCATCCCTGAGGGTGTTTAAAAAACATGTAGATGTAGCACTTCAGGATGTGCTCGAGTGGGCATGGTGGTGTTGAGCTGATGGTTGGATTTGATGATCTTTTCCAACCCAAGTGGTTCTATGACTTCCCCCAGCCCTGTCCTCCCCACTCTCCCCCAGGCACCACAGCTCTCCCTGAGCTTTGCACTGTCCCCGTTTCCAACCTCAGCTCCGTGTCTCCACGCTTCCCCTCTGCCCCTACACTCCCAAACCCTCAGAGAACCCCCCCCACCTGATGCTCCCCAGCCCTTCCCTCCCTTTGCACTCCGAGCCCCCATCCTCCCTACCCCTGCCCCACGGGTGTCGCCCCCGTCCTGGGGGCTCCCTGGCACGGCACCCACCCACTCGCGGCGGCGGCTGTGCGTGGTGAAGTCGTACACCGGCACCTTCACGCTCTTGCCCTTCTTCAGCTTGCGGAGGACGCTGACCAGCAGCTCGAAGTCGAAGGCATCAGGGTGGTCAAAGTTGTAGTCACTGCGGGCTGCCAGCGCCTGCTGCCCCTCGTCCAGCACCTGCAGGTGCCAGCACTGCTCAGCACCGCGCTGCCCCCCGGCCCATGGGCACTGGTGCTGCTCAGCACCACACCGGCACCCCTGGACCCTCACCTTGTAGAACGAGTCCATGGAGAGCAGCACCACCCAGGGCACATCCAGCGCCTCAATGATCCGTGTTGCCACTGTTGTCTTGCCCGAGGCGCTGCCACCACACAGGCCTGGGGACCAGCATATGGTAGCACCAGCGTGGCTGCAGCACAGCTCCCATCCCAGCTCCATCATTTCTCTGGTTGCATCCCTGTTCCAGCCCTAGCCTCAGTCCCACCACTTCCCCAGCTATGGCTCGGGGCCCAGCTCCATGATTTCCCCAGGATCACCTCTGGCTGCAGCTCCCTCCCTTCCCCAGGCCCGTCCCTGGTCCCAGCCCCAGCTCCATCACTTCCCCAGCTTCGGTTTCATTTTGGTCCCGGCTCAGACCTCAGTCCCATTATTTCCCGGCTCCTGCCCAGCCCCCCAGTACCAGCTCCATCCCTTCCTCCCCCCTGTCCTGGTCCCGGTACCAGCTCCATCCCTTTGCCCGCCCGGTCCTGGTCCCGGTACCAGCTCCATCCCTTTGCCTGCCCGGCCCTGGTCCCGGTACCAGCTCCACCCCTTCGCCTGCCCATTCCCTCTCGCGGCTCCATCCCTCCCCGTCCTGGAGCCACCCCCGCTCCCATCCCTCCCGCCGCCCGTCCCGGCGC